ATTATATATATTATTATATATTATTATTATTATTATATATATTATTATATATTATTATTATTATTATATATATATTATTATATATTATTATTATTATTATATATATATTATTATATATTATTATTATACAATAATTCATGGTTAAATGGAATGATATAGGGAAGTTACGATTACCGATATAACGCTTTTCTATAAATATTCGAATATAGAATATATATATATATATGTTTATTAATTGTTTCAGAGGTAGGACCTGCAGCATGTCGGCCGGCAGCGATATGACTTCGAAGGAGTCGCTCATCAACACGACGAAGCTGTCGCAATCCTCCAGGAATTTTGGGCCGGGGGAGTCGAGGTCAGAATCGCTGTACGAGTCCGATTTCTCCCCGTAAGCGGCGTAGTCCGGCTCCAAGTCCGAACGGGACGAGGAACTTGCCGACTCAATGGTGGACCTGTATCACTTTCGTGCGGCCTCGAAACAGGGACGGCAACGGGACGCGGTTCCCCCCGTTTCGATCAAGACGATTAAATTTTTATTGTACCTCGTCTCCCATTATTTTATATCACTTTCGTCGCACTTCTTTTTCTCTGATAACGATTGATAATTATTGATAATTATAGTTGAAGAGAGAATATTTTTTTTTTTTTTATTTTTAGATGACTTTTGATTATTTGGCAGTCTCTCGTTTCACAGAGAGAGAGAGAGAGAGAGAGAGAGAGAGAATTGGAAAGTTTGCGTAGACAAGGAGTAGCTCGTTTCGGAACGAGAAGAACGTCTCACGACAGTGCAACCGCGACTGTGTTCGATGGACAACTGGAGGCGGGGTATTGGAGAACCAGCCCCCTGGCTGCAACATCCCCTACCCCCCCTCTCCGCTTTCGAGGAGAGCCATCGTGTCTCAAGGCCAAACCAGCCAGCCCATTTCAGGCGCGACACGTAAGCTATTGGTCAAAAGTTTGGAATTTCGTCGAAATCAATGGAGGAGGAAATTCAATGATTTTGAATATTTTGGAATTTGCGAATAAAATTTTCATGTTCCAATTGTTTAGCATATCCATAAGGTAATGCTCGACGAGTACACTATTTTTTCCTTTTTATCTTCATCTCATATATATATATATGTATGTGTGTGTGAGATGCTTTATGTAACAAGGTTCTGCATACACATTAATTTTCTTAATATGGTTTCAGCATTTTGATTTCTTCCATGGATAAAGTGATAGCAAATTGCACAAATGGACAATTGAATGAAAGCTTGATGGACACGTGTTAATCAGAATAGAAGATTGAGAGATTATTTTTTTTCTTTTTTTTCATGGAATTAATTCGACCTCCTCGATCATCCCTATTCACTATAAAGGGTCAACATTCAAAATAAACGAGAGAGGTGGAAAAAAGAAATATCTTGTAACGAGGCTAATGGCTTCCAATAAACTTATGAATTCAAAACACGCACACTGTAGCCGGCAGAATGCCAGAGATTCGATGACCTTGCAATAATTTGCTATACTTGCAGATCTTTCCACGCTTATCAATGAGTGATAATAATTTTATAAAATCATTTCTGTTATGCTATCCGATTTTTTTTTTTAAATTATAATTAAATTGAGCGAGAGATTCCTCATTGAAGGGGTAGCTGGATCGACCAATACCAGCTCATCCTCGTGCAATGCGATGCCAGCTTTGATGGGATTGGTATGATAATGTGAGCATAGATTAACACAGGGTGAAGGTCAAGTCGAGCAACCCTTCCGGTAATGCACCCCCTGTGACGTAAGTTTAACCCTTACTCCGTGAAGTGCTTTCTTTTATTCCCTTATCGTTAAATAAAGAAGATAAATAGTTGGAAAGGTGAATACGTTTAAAAATTTCAGGGATCGAAGACAATTCGAGTTCGACATTGTGAGCGAGACTCTTAATGGACTCGAGGCACGAGTTTCCACAGAAGATGGAACGTCAATTTTTTCTTTCTTTTTTTTTTTCCTGTATCACGAAACGAACTTGAATCGAGAAGTAAAATGGATCCCATTCGTTGAATTGAAAATCAGAAAAAGTAACAACTGTCATTGATTCTGATATAACATTGAAAATTATTATTATTCATTTCTTCAAAGGTTACGTCGAGTTTTAATAAAGCAAATTATTTAGGTCTAATTTTCACCTATGAAATTTTTCATACCGAATCCATTAAATTTCTGTTCAAGGATCTCTTTGTCGTAAGAGCCTTTCGCCTCTTAACTCGTGACTTACATCAACGCCAGCAATGCCAGAAACGATCAACTCGGTTCCTGCAATCTGATCAACCGGCTGAACAAGCCAAGAAATCACGAATCTAGAATCCCTTTAATCAAAATTATCACGAGCACGGCAAAGCCCACGAAAACTTTCTATTAATAAATCACGTGCTAAAAATACAACCCCGTTCACCCACGTCACAGGATGTATAATGCACTTTATATAATGCAATTTAAGGGAAGACAAAAATATAATATAATCATCTTGCAAGATTTGGATAAATAATTGGAAGAAGTGGAAAAGAATAAAAGAAAAAAAAAGAGAGAAGAAGAAAGAAGAAAGTCCATTCACGAGAAGAGGTGCGGCTTTGTTATTTAATTTATGAGCATTCTCCCTATATAAATTACGATTCGCGGAACTGGCCTCGCAGCACGTGTTGGTCATCATATGAATATATACACGTTTGTTGTGCAAGGCCAAGGTCACGGTGCAACAATCTTCCGGCTGGTTGGTACGTGATCGAATGCAAGGCGCAACAAAAGTACGCGTGGGTGCACCCTCTTGGGTTCACCATGGGTGCTACAACCCTTAACCTTTTCACGCATTTACTCATTCGGTCATGCACCCCCCTTATGTCGACTCAACCTTGTCGGCGCAACAACTCGTATGATATTTACTTATTAAATCCATTTTTCCCCATAATTCATTATATATAAAAGAAGGAAGATTTTCTTATTTAATTTCTTATTTTTTTTTATATAATTTTACCCTTTTAATTTCAACAATTTATCACGATGACGTTTTTTCAAGAGAATTAAAATTTTCTTCCTTGTACAAGTTGGAATGGAGCCGATTATTACAACCAGTAAGGTGAATATCCTCGTTGAACGTTTACCTTGATGATGATAAGGTAAGGATCGAGACCGTCCAAAGAACTCGGTGTACACCAACCCTTAACCTTTTGCGGCAGGTCATTCGGTATAAATTATCATCTGTGCACGGATTCGAGTGATTTAACACGCGACCGAACCGGTTTAATTAGAAAGAAA